GCCTGTGCTGGAATATAACCATGTCAGGAATATGATTTTTTTAACATAAAAATGATTGACATTTGTATCTGATCGTCAAACAAGTACTTGTCCATATTGAGATATATTGCTCTGGAACAGCATTCAAAATCAGCCATTTTAAATGCATGTATATATATAACATGATGTATAACGAATATATAAAATTTGAATATAACAAGTCAAATCATTTAAGAGATATGGATCTAGAAGCCCAATAATTAAAACAAAATGGTCGCCAGTCAGCCATTTTAAATCCAATCTGATAAATAAAACGACGAGCATCAGGAGCCCATAATGTCTAATGTATGCACCAAGTTTGAACGAAATCCACCCATAAATGCTTGATATTTGATGATTTTTTAGCACAAAAATTACCACCATTCGGTCATTTTGAATAGGATAGTCAAACCAATATATCTGTTTATCTATGACATGATGTATAATGAATATTTAAAATTTGAACATAATCAGTGAAAGCAAGTCTGAGATGTGGGTCTAGAAGCCCATTCATTAAAACAAAATGGCCGCCAGACAGCCATTTTGAATCCGATCTGAAAAATAAATGATGTGCATCAGGAACCTGTAATGTCTAATATATGTACCAAGTTTGAACGAAATCCATCCATAAATGATCTTGAATCAGATCGTAAAACAAAATGATGTTCATCAAGGTCCTATAATGTCTAATGTATATACCAAGTTTGAACAAAATCCATCAGTAAACACCCGAGAAATGGTGATTTTGACGATTTTTAGCACAAAAATGGCTGCCATTCGGCCATATTGAATCCGATCGTGAAACAAATTGACATGCACATGTATAATATCATGTATGATGTATGTGTGAAGTTTGATTGTTATTGGTCCAGGCATTTCTACAATACCGGTCCAGACGCACGCACGCACAGACACATGGAGGTAAAAACATAAGTCCCTGTTTTCGGACTGCGTCCGAAAGGGGACTAAAAATGTGCTATACACATTTGGCCAATTTTGATGGAGTAAGGGTTTCTTATTGTCGTATTCCATCTGAAAGGGACATTTGACAGTGAACTATAAAAATTAAAAACAAATTCAAGTTCAAAATCAAATCTGATTTTTTGCAGAGAATGTTTGACATGTTTTTCACGCATGACACAAGATCTCGTAGTGAATATAAAAAACTACTTATTGTTTGAGTCAAACAGCAATGTTTAAATCCTGTAATCTTTTCCACCTAAAATAGCTAATTGCAAATCTTGATTAAAGAAAATGTGGCCAAAGACTTGCTGGCAATAGGCTAGTGCTGTGAGAACACACAGATGTCAATATTTTACTAATCTACGACAATTAACATACATTTGAAATGAACTGCATACATGTATGACTAGTTATGAAATAAACACCCATGTTTCCTTTCACGGAATTCATACTGCACAACTTTAGTAACAAAAGAACTCAAAACTCTTTCATTATAACATTTTTTTCAGAAATGTAGTAGGTAGTTCAGACGCCAATATAGAATCATGGTAAATCATACGGTAATTCCAGCTGTATTGGCTTAATCATCATAACTTGTGTTTCAATCAAAACATTAATTTTTAGAAATCTAAACATGAAAATTCTGATTAGACAAAGTTGAATCTACAGTTGTCGTACAGAAGCATGTTCAATATGGATAAAATACAAAATTGGAAACCATGCTTCCTTGACAGTTCTAGCACTTTAATTTGTTAAGACAGAATAAACCACTGGATTACCTGTGTGGAATGTCTAATCCACCATCAGCAGCACCTTTCAAGCAACCAAATATCCTGGCACCAGTGGTGGTACGTGCCAGACCAACATCTAAGAAACATCGGAATGCTCCTGGCTTTCCATCTTCAGATTCAACAGTGTATTCATCTCCATCAACTTCTTCTTGTCCTTTATACAGATCAGCTAATTCAAATTTTGTTAGGAGCTGCCATTTACACACAAAAAACAAGGTAACGTTAGCAAGTACAGGACATTGTAGAATATCTATGTACTTTGCTATAAATTTAGATCCCAGGATATTTCATTTGATAAGAGTGATCAATTCCCTTGCCTGTCACTCAAAATTAAGATTTGCAAAATTTAAACCATGATCACTCCCCAATTCAAACATTTCAGAAGATAATATTAAATATTTTAGCTTTTCTAATCTACTTATGGTTCAGGAATAACATTTCTAATTTTCCAGTCTTCTTCATTGACAAACCTGGTGTATTCTCCTTATAGGACTCTCCAGTCATAAAATTCATTCAAGCCAGCAACAAAATGACAAGACTCATTCAAACCAATAAACATTTTAAGTTTATGGATGTCCTACTTCAATACAGAACTACTGGAGTTGTGCTTCAAATTTTCTACATTTTCAAAAATAGTTCAGACGCCAATATAGAATCATGGTGAATCATACGGTAATTCCAGCTGTATTGGCTTAATCATCATAACTTTGAAAAATAAATTTTTAAACACACTGAAGCAAAAAGGAAATGTACGACTTACTTTGACAACTACACTTAATAGAATGACAGGAATATGAAAATTGAGAAAGTTTTCTCAGTAATAACTATACTTACCCTACGAGCTACTAACAAGCCAGTACAATAGGCAGCAGAATAATTAGTCAACCCGACCTTCACGCCATAGCGAGGAAGTTCATGAGCATATGCAGCACATATGATGATGTCTCCCTCTATCCTGGCGTACGCTACCTGTAAAGTGATTGGTAATAAGAAAGAGCATTTCATTACAACACACAACAAAATAAACATAAAAATAGACTGAAAACACTCAACTAGAGACCAGATATTCATCAATGCTAAAGAAAATAATACTGCAAATTTGGGAGTTTCATTTGAAGGAGTCTGTATCCTAATTTGCCACCTACTCTTGTACCTAACGATTCATTAGCCGCCTATTTTTCTAAATACCGTGTGCAAGAGAATACAATTCAGCTGGCTACTTTTCTTGATAGAGCCTTCCAATCAAAATATTCAAGGTAAACTCTGATCTTTGACCTCAGGCGAGTGTCAATACCACTAGACTCATTAACAATTAGTATTTTACTGAAACTAATTTTTAATGGAATTTAGTTGTTCCTTCCAGCTGTTCAATAGTTATAAGCTTGTTCAATGCATGTAATGTTATGATCACTGCTCAAGGCAGACAGAACCAAATAACAGACTGCAGCTTCTGACCTAATCACAGTATGGAAAAAAAATTATGAAGTTATGAAAAATTCAATTTTGACAACTTGACGTGCCTAGATTTCTACATTCAATTTTGAAGCACCAAATATAGCTTTCAAAATTACCTGGCATATTATGTCCTTATTGGTGAATCGCACAATCAATCGATACTTAGGTGTGTTGTACTTGTTCTTGTCTTGAACCACGAGGCGTTTACGAGCATAGTAATCGGTTTTACCCTCCCTCCTACGTCGGAACTTCACTTGGTATCTTTTAAAATACGCTTTATTTTTCACAACTTTAACAAATCCCTGGATTAGACAAATGGAAACGCATATAAACATTATAATCTTTCAATACAGTACAGCTTTCATAGTAAATGCTTTTAGAGGTGGCACATTACATTGAAGCAGTGAATGTAAACAATCTGTGGGAGAACACAGAGCTGCCTTACTTCTATGTTCATTCATATATAGGAGATTATTTTTTTAATTAATCTAAAAATGAAATAGCTATGGCTGAACCAGTCAATCTGATCCAAAGTGATCTAGTAAACAAAGTGATAAAAATATACAGTGGAAACAAACTAATGCAGGAGATCGCATCTTGACTGAAATAGTGTTCATTTCAGACCACATCAGCACAGTTAACCAAAGGTTTATTTATTCACCAAACGCCATTCACATTTTACCGAACAGGTGGCACCACACTTTCCTGTTAAGATAGTAGAATGTGAATACCCATGTGTGTGATGTCTAATTGTTCAGGCTAGAAGCCAGAATTTAAGCCTTTAAATTTCGTCGAAAGTATGCCCGACATTGTTGTAGTTTAAGGGTGTGTGACAGTCGTGTTATACAAAGGCCATTTTTCATCGCAATACATTTGGAGAGAAATTAGCGTTAGGCAGCCAAAAAGAATATAATCTCGCCAGTCTTCCAAATAAACACCACATTAGACATCAACCTCTATAGACAGTACGATGATGGAAAGCGTGATGTTTTGAAAGTTTACAAATAGCAATTAAAGGGAAAATCGACCATACCTCAGTTTATCTTTAAACATAGTTTTTCGTAACAATATTTTCAACAACTCAATGAAAACAACGCACGTGTTTTTAGCCACGTGGAACTTCTGGTGTCACTGAAGATGCCTCGGAGGAGTGAACCGAGGGGTCATTTCAGAAATCGACAGACAAGTTTGTTTGTTGTGCCTGTCTATCAAATAGTAGCGACTTGTTTTTTTTGAAAGATAAATCCATGAAAGATGATCACAACAGTCCCAAACGCATATTAGGTTCTAATTACAACGATAATGGAACAAACAAGCTGAGTATTTATTGAAAGTCATGCTTTCCGTCCGCCATATTGGATCTACAGTCAGCGAAATTGTGGACGCTGAATCCATTTCATCTGCCTTTTATCTCGTATTTAAAACTCCCAAATACACGCAAACCGGTCGCACCGATATTTTAAAATAGTCAACGGGCTATTATTTTTTCAGTAACCCTTACCATTTTGATTTCTGGGAGCCTCAAATCGTGAGGACTTCACAGATAGCTCGGCTGCAGGCTGATGGCTGCCCAAAAAAAGACCGTACGTTTATGCGCATGCTCTTAAGTAACGGCAGAACCCGGATGTAATACAGAAGCCATAATGGAACAGCTGATCGACTGGTATGTGCAGAATTTAGGGACTCGTCTCTCAATGTGTAACCGGTGCTAGTTCCTTTGAAAAGTGACAGGGTACAAATGTGCCGCTCACATACAACACATCAAAGGGTAAACTTGCTTTGTCAGGCACTTTTTTTAAGAGCAAATTTTTGCTAATGCTAATG